ACATTAATTAATGGGTCTCTTAATGCCTAAAAAAATAAATCCAAATGAAAAATTATGTTTTGCCGTAAAATACCAAGGAACTACTGGTATTATTTAAGTTACATTACGTTATATTTTCGGAGCGTTGTAAAACCGCATCTTTCTGTTTGACTGTTCTTTTTGTTTTTAAGGGTTATTTACTTATTTATTTAGTTCTGTGTCTTCTGCTTTCTTACGTATAACCTTACTAGAGAGATTCATTGAATTTTTTTTTTGGAAACCCCAAAACCTTAAATTGACATTCATCACGCTTTTACAAATAAGAGTGTTGGCATTTATCACGACATGCTTCTTAAGTTTATTTGGTAAATGGCTGCAAAGTAATCAATGACAATGCAGTTATGGACGTATATATGTAGAAATTAACACAAATGACAAATTAATCCTGTAAAGCATTTCATATCAAGACTGTATTTTGAATACCGTTTTCAAATATCATTTAAATTATACATTATTAAGAATTATGCCTTATTTGAAAAAAAAGTGCAATGCAACAATAATGAAGCTTTTACATTTAAAATTATCTTAGCCGGGTTTGCAAGAAAAAAATGAGAATTATGCCTTATTTGAAAAAAATGCAATGCAACAATAATGAAGTTTTACATTTTAAAAAATCTTATTTAAGAAAAAATGAAGATACCGAACAGAGGTCAATAAAGGAAATAAAACAAAAAAATCCACAAACATATAAATTTGTAAACAGCACATAAAACCCTCGAAAGTGGCACACAATTGGTTTGAAACGCTTCAGCCAAAATACATGCATCTATAATAGACTGTATTTGTTAAGTTAATATGAATATATAAACGACCGTGAAATATGGAGATAACGTACAGTCATCAAGTTCAAAGGTTAACTGAAACAATACAAAACAAGAGTAGAGCAAGTACGGACCTCTAAAAACATAAAAGTGGGGCAGAAACCATAATTGTACGAAATGTGGACTTGAAACGAGTTAGCTAAAATCCCTGTTAAATCAACTTATCTCTCAGTAGCTTTTCTCTGCTCAAAATGACTCGTAGTTAGAGCATTTCCTGGAGTATCGAATAAAATGTTAAATGTAAACATCATCTCAGGTGACAGCGGAATTTTTATACATAAATAGGGTTGAAAATGGAAGGTATCTTGTTTTTCATAAAATTTAGTTGAGATATATCTAGTCGAGATAGGACTGGAAATAACTATTGTTAATTGATAAAAAGACGTTAATATAAATCTAGACGTCGAGTTGAAGCCACATATACCATTATCATAATGATACTTTTACCGGATTCCTGAACTTCATAAAATTCTTACTAACAAACACATATTTTGACATAGGTCGAAAGGCATATTTTATTTTAATATTCAAATGCTTCAGTTACGTATATACATCACAATTATGGTTAAAACGTCTTTCATTAACACCTATAACAATGTATCCATCTTACTTTCTTTATTTGTAAAATAAAAGGTTGAAAGGAATAAAACAAACTAAAATCGTCCGTCCCCGGCAGTTCATTATCAGCGTGTTTCACATCGACATGCATTGTCGCACAAGTTTTTGTTCCAGACAGACAATAAAATGTTTCTACGAGCCTTTTTGTCAGTCATCCTTGCACTGCCAGGAACTCTGAATCAAAATTTTGCCGTGGGAGCCCTGGCCAAATTCATTCGATATTTAAAAAAAAATCTTTTCTCATCGGGAAGTACCAATCAAATTAAAGTTTTCAGATAAAGCTAGGTGATGTCAACAGAAAGTACTTACTATTTATTTGACACCTCAAATGCACTTATTTATTATAGAAAACTTAACGTGATTGGTTGAGAAATAAGTCAAGATTTGGATTTTTCCTGACATTCTTCGCTAGTCAGCCAATAAATAATTGAATGAAATTGGCGAGGGGTCCCAAGGTCGTGTGCTGATAAAGGACCCCTGGCATTGCGAATATGTTGCCAGAGTCCGTGAATACACTCAAGTTTTAGGTATCATGGGTATTTTTTTCCCCAATTTTTATGCTTACTGTTGCTCCTCATTAGTGAATTTCTCATTAAGATGGTGTGACTGTCATTGTTAAGTACGCGTAGCTATAAATTTGCATTTTAATTTCAGGTGAAAAAGAATGAGTGTCACGTAACAAGTACATAATTTACATGACCTGAACATAAAGAGGTCTAAAGAACAAAGACAGAAAAATTAAAGATGTACTTTTCAAGACTGATGAGATGAATAAACAATAGCTATTTAAATGCCCCTATCTACATCGTGTGAATTAATCTGAATCTTCTATTTAAAATTTTTTTTTAAAAAATTATATATTTTCTTTATTTTAGCATGAACATGTAAGAGAATATACAAGATACAAAGCAATCAAGTCCCTGCATCTAAAGAAATTTTCTAGGAATTCTAACCACACTTTCATAGATTTCATTTTGGTTTTCCCACTAAATAATGGGACACCTTAAATTCCTAATCAAAAGTTGTCAAAATAAGGCTTAACCAAATATGAAATTACAATTGGGTTGTCCCAGTTAAATATTTTAATGCAATCTTCTTGTTTTTTCTTTTAAAGTGTGTTGTATTTGTATTGTTTTAATAAATAGCGCAATTTATTTCATAAAATCTCTTGTCAATTTATGAATTACATCTAGCAATAATGAAAGATAGTTAAGCTAATACTTAATTACTTTTACTTTTTGCAATTTTTTATAATTCCTTATATATATTTTTTTTTACATCATTTGAACACTTGTTAGTAATGGTTTTTTTTTAGAGATTTCAAAAACCTCGCTCGTTTAATTAAATCAAACATTTTGTTAATTCATTATCGATATAATGACCTTGATAACAGATAGAGCCTACTAGTATCATCGGCTGAATGCTACCGATTGTTAGGTCTGTGTTTTTATGTTTAATTTGACTATCATGGTTTGTTCCATCTTCCTTAACAAATATAAAGAATCTGGGGGGATTAGGCGAGTCATATGCCTACGCGAGGGCAGGTAAAATATCAAATTTAAGAATTCTTACAATTCCAATTTTTGTTAAATTTGAGAGTTATTTATAATCCTCTGCATACAGTAAAGATAAAACCTGAATCAAATGACTTAGAAATTGATTGTAATTAACCCACCAAAATGGTAACATTCGTAAAAATGATAGAAACTGAATGTTAAAACTGTGTTTTTTATATAAAAGTTGTACCATTTTTCTGTAAAGAAATATTGAAAGGGAATAAGGTATCTATCACCATTTTCAGAAACCAAATATGAAATTCAAAAACTCTAAGTCCAATTGTGTGTTTGTCCTCGTATATATAGAACTGTTTGTTATTTTAAGGTAATATTTTAATGCAACCATATCATTTGTTGTTTCACAATTTTAAAAAGTGTGTTGAATATTAAAAACAAAGTGAAAAAATAAGATAATATTTTTTTTTAGAGTCTATTAATATATTTCCTATAATAAACAAGTTTTCAAGATATATAACATTTTGAATGCATTCAGTTCAAGACTACATTGCACAGTTGAAATGTAAACAATCATGGGTAGACCATCAGGGTATGGCTATTCCGTATGCAAAAACAGTTACATTGTAAAAGGAAAGTCTCCCAAGCTAGAACAATACTTAGCATTACTTGTAACAATAACCGTAAAGTTTAAAAATGTAGATATTGTCATTTGGACAGTGCTGTACAAAGTTTAAATGTTTTTAAAAAACTATTCCGATATGCTTACAGAGCGACAAAATCCGTGTGGGCATATAACACGCTTTATTCTTTACTGTAGTTTTTTAATCTGTCTTTTATGCTCTTTCAGATTTGTAACACTGGTCAGAGACCAGAAGAGCTTATGCGAGTAATGCGTCCGGCGTCCGTCCGTCTGTCTGTCTGTCTGTCCGTTAATTAAACATTTTTTCAACTCCTCCTACAATTTTTTGTTAATTAGAATAGTGCATCGGTTTTTGATTTTGATGAACGGTGTTGCCATGGTTACTGAAAATAGAATTTTCTGTGAAATTCCTTAAAAACGCCACTCCTTCTAAAGTTTTTGTCTGATTTCAATATAACTTGGCAGACAAGTAGACTACACTAAGATACATAGAATAGTGCATCGGTTTTTGATTTCGGTAAACGGTGTTGCCATGGTTACTAAAAATAGAATTTTCTGTAAAATTCCTTAAAAACGCTACTCCTTCTACAGTTTTGGTCTGATTTCAATATAATGGCACAAATTTACATAGAATAGTTCATCGGTTTTTGATTTCGATGAACGGTGTTGCCATGGTTACTAAAAATAGAATTTTCTGTGAAATTCCTTAAAAACGCTACTCCTTCTACAGTTTTTGTCTGATTTCAGTATAACTTGGTACACAAGTAGACTACACTAAGATACATAGAATAGTGCATCGGTTTTTGATTTCCATGAATGGTGTTGCCATGGTTACAAAAAATAGAAATTTCTGTGAAATTCCTTTAAAACGCTACTCCTTCTACAGTTTTTGGTCTGATTTCAAAATAAGTTGGCGCACAAGTAGACTACACAAAGATACATAAAATAGTGCAATGGTTTTTGATAAGTACAAACCAGTAGAGCTACAGTCTCGACAGAGACTTCTGGTTTTTTTTTTATAGATTTTTGTATAGATCGATTACTGTTCGTTATTTCAACTTTTATGAAAGTTTTGAATTTTTTTTTTTTTTGAAAATGTATATTTGAGAAAAACAATATTTGGGTTTTCTGTTTCTTTAAATGTATACCTATTCTTAAAATACCTAAGTGGACACCACATAAATAAACTGCATCCGTATATTACATAAATATTCCATATATAGAGGTGGTAAAAAAGATATCTATAGTTAATTAAAGACAATTAATATAAAAGGTTCTGTTCATGCATTTTTTTATTCCTAGGTGCTTCTTGTCTAAAAATGTAAGATTGAATTAAACATTCTGAAATCATTTCGAAAACTTGGTGTTTTCATTGATTTGAAAAGTACAAAACACAAGTACAATGAAAGAATTAAAGACATCACTGTTCGATAAATCAGCAATTCTCCTTTAGTTTAATAACTGAATTTGAGTCTACATTTAATCTCGATAAGCAAGAAATTCGAATTTTTCGATAATTGATTAAAATAATTAGAATGAAGATGAGAAGGACAAATGAGAGCACACTTAAAGCTATAATAACTGGCATAAAATCGAATCCACAGCTTATATCTTCAAGATGTAAGTCTCGTAATCTCCGGCCTCTGACATCTTTGGGATAATAGCACTCCAGATCTCTGATGTACGAGTACTTCTGGTACTTTGATGAGTTCCAATCTCTCTCTTGAATGTATCTTAACACCTCCTTCATTTTATCTGAACATGTGCAGTTGAATGGATTGTTCGCCAATTTAACAAATAAATACTTGTTTTGGATGATTCTTTCAAAATCACGAACAGATAATTCACTTATGTTGTTAAATGTTAGATCAAGAGTTAAATTTGAAATGCTATTACCCATCATCCTCGCATCAGTTCGCGGGAAAACAATATCCTGAATTCGGTTGTAAGACATATCCAGGTACTTCAAATTTGGAAAGTACATCCACCAGGTTTTAAAATTTTCAGGTATGCGATAAATATTAGAATGTGATATATTTAGAACGGATAATTCTGGAAATCTATTTTGTTCGATTAGGTTGGTTGCATAATATCTACTTAATGATGATGTGACGGATTGTTCAAGCACCTCTAGTTTTTTGTAAACACACTTATGTGGTGACAATCTACTATCCATTATGTTTTCGGTGGCTATTTTTGCGAACATTTCAATATCCGACTTTGAATTTCCTAGATCATGAATGAATGAGAAGGTATGGTTCCGCTCTATTTTTATTCTTAAATTCTCTTCGCTTCCACACAAAGCACTTCTCGGCAGATTTGCCGTCTTTATTTGAAGACTTTCATACATTAATTTAAGTCCTGTTGAATGTTGCACATTTATTAGAACATATTCTTCCAGTACGTCTGGAAGAAGGTCCAAATCATGTCTTCTAAAGTCTGCATAATAGCCGTCTGCTATGCAGTCATGCACATGGAGCTTAATAATATTACTGGCTTTTACTGGTGTTGGAAGTGAGATTCTAGCACCATTTTGACACTGCACAGAAAAACTGTACTTTTCATCTTTTTCCAATATATGCTGTCGTAGTATTGAAAAATTCCATTTACCGGAGGAGGATCCGTTTATGTAGCAATTATAGTGCAGCAATGTGTCATTGTTCCTTATTTTTTGCTGATCACAGAATTCCTCCCAATACGGTGGTAATCTGGAATCCAATACAGTGGAAATATTTCCATGTATTTGACCACTATCGTAATTTGTTGAATTGATAACATCAGTGGTATTTGTGGAAGAGTTAAACTCACGTGAAAGTCCATCCGGTGCAGTTGCTTGTAGAGAATTTATCGAATGCAACAAAAGAAATAATTGAAAAAATTTATATAATGCCATTTTCAAATATTGCATCCCTAAAAAGATTATTTTCATCAGTTCCAAAAGTACAATCGAGTAAAATCAAATGCGTCCACCGATTTCTTCTTATGTTGACATAGGAACGTGAAAGCATTTAAATGCTAAAACTCAAATTTCCAGTTTTATTAATAGAAATTAATTTCCAGTGTCTTGTTTTTTTTTTAAATATATATATCACATATAAAAGTAAAGGATATTTTGCTGTAGTGTTTTCGGGAAATATATACAAGAATGGATATTAATATCATGAATTTACATCCTACTTCAACAAGTTTGCAATGTCACATATTTATGCTTGATTGCATCACGTTTTTTTCTTAATAATTCATTAGGTGTTATTGAATGCTTCTTAACACGTTTACTTTATACATGGAAATTAATTACGATAATACAAATTAATCTTCTTCAACAGAGTACATACGCTCTTCTTTTTTTTATCAGTTTTAATTTATCAGCTTCGTTACATGAAAAAAAAGCATATGTTATGCGGGGATAATTAATATTTACGAGCCAAGAACCTTTCATAAATAATAGAATTCTTTGCATTTTAACGATTCCATGTACATTAAACAAAGGTTAAATCACATGATACAAACGTTGTGTCAGTTGTTAACTAGGAATGGGTGTATATTTACAATCATAAAATCAGGCAGTATAGAAAAACCAACAACCAAGGGGAATTCCACGACGGTATCTGCATTGTCTGGGACCTAATTTGTTATTGATCCCTTCAGATAGCTAAGGACGGGAAACAAGGTTCTGAGTGCATGTCAGAAATATATATAAAATGCAATAACACATGCTAATTTTATGAAGTGTTTATTTGATCTTGAATGAAAATCAAAGAACAAATTTTGTTAAATTCATTATTTTTTTCCTTATTTAAAAATGCAAACTTTCAGATGGTTTTTGGAAAATATATAAGTATTCTAATTTCTACTGGACCAAAAAGATTGGCAGGAGAGGGAAAATATCGGTACCATCTTTTAATACCGGTAACTAATCGTTTATACTTGGAGGTATTGCGAAACCCCTGCACTAAAGATTTTTTGGTTTCAAGAATAAATAACAATGATTAACTTGTGCAAAATGCTGTTTCCAGAAAATGCATTATTAAATCTAAATGCAATCTTTAAATGTGTATAAAAATGGGAAATAGAAAACGATACCATGGCCATATCCCCTGGGGAAAAAAACAGTGTATGCATGCAGTCGATTAATTATGGTAATTTTGTGACGACAGTGAAATATACTTAACTTCAATATGTTTGTTCAGGTAATGACGTACCGTCTGTTTTCATGAATTGACAAATTCCACTTGTACGATTTTCCCCAAATGCCCACACTTTTCGTACGAAAATTATCGAAATAGAAAAAAAATACAATCCTGTCAGCAAAAAAGGTTCGGTTTCAAATTAACTCTCTGGTTTAGTTTTTCAATTATCAGCCCCAAAAAACTTTAATTGTTTAGTGATTTATTCATGAATTTAAAAGAAAAATATAGAAGATATAAAAGAAATTAAATAACAATCCTAGATCATGTTCACAAAATTATTTTTATAAACAACACTGCATGGATGTATATTTTTTTGCGACCTAAGACTACCCAACATCTTTTGAAAAAATTAAATATATAAAGTATATGATAATTTAATGTCCATGAAACTTTATCTCATTTGCTAGACTTGTGCAGAATTGGATGGATATCGATTGGGTGACTCAGAGAAACAGCAGTAGAAGAAAATGGCTCACCTAATATATCTCCGATAATGGTTGATCGTGAACTTCTTCCACCCGGCTGGGAAGCCAGATGGGACCCAAATCAAAATGCATAGTAAGTAGCAGACTAAAAAAAAATAACAGTAAAAAGTCTAAACCATATATTTTTTTCACTCGAGTTTCCTCTATCCTTGATATAATTTCTTGTTGCTTTGCAGCTTTTTCATTGATCATAATACACGGCAAACGACATGGATTGATCCAAGATTGAATCCCCAGGTAATGTTTGGAAAAAGTTCATAAATGGCCAAAAACTCCTTATCATATTCAGCTCAATGATTGTAAATTCATATGAATTTACAATTATGATAAATGCATATTATAGATTAAAAAAATTTAGCTTTTTATCATTAAATGACAAAAATTTTGGAGAGCTTACCTTTAATGTATATCCAATGTTGCACTTTTTGAAATGCTTTTCCTACAAAATAATGAATAATTTTTTATCTGTTTGGGACTTTAAAACAAATCTTTAATTGAATAAATGTGTCGTATTTACAGAGAAAGCAATATAACAATCGTTACCATGGCAGTCAGCAACCAGCAGAGGTAAAGAGATGTAGTGAAACAATTATTTTCTTCTTAGATTATCTTATATTATATATAATTTTTGTTATCATTTTAAGATTTGCATGTTGTTTATTTCTTATCTTATCTTGATTTTTTATTTGAATAAAGAGTTTGAAACGGATCTTTTTGAAATATTTCTTTAATTTCTATGCCTTATCATGTATGGAGATGAGACAAATTGTTGACGAAGTCGATCGGCAATCTTACTCTACTAAGTACACACTGCTGTACATAACAGACTGAGGATTATAACACTATTTTACCATACCAAATCAAATTAATAGTATAGAATTAATTTGGTTAATCAGAGGGTGAAGTTTTTACCATTATAGTAATTCTAAAAAAAAAAATAATAAAATCAAAAGTAAACCGAAAATACATGTAATTAAAAGTATTTTTTACAAATTGTAATTTTTTTGTTGTTGTAATTTTCATCAGTTTCAGGTGTGATTTTTTTTCGGTGTTTATAAAACTTTAAAGTCAATACAGATGTATGTCTGTAGACTTTATCTACTGACTACTGTACAAATTACTAACTATTTGACTGAGTTTTGATAAATTTATTAAATTACTGAAAATTTAAACACATATACCTCCACATACAATATATAGAATGTAATAAAATGAATACATTTTCGACTTGATAAATCTAGATAAAACTATAAAGAGATGCGTTCATACTGCTAGGACGTGAATATTGTGTCATGAACAAAATAACTAAGAAAAAATGACGGAATTTATTGAAAAGCATCGGAAAAGTCAAAGCTATTTTAAATGCGTGGAACTAAAATATTTATTTCCAATACATGAACGTAGTGTTTTATTTGTTGTTTTCTTGCATGCCTTCCTTAATAAAAGGTAAAAACACATCGTGAAATTTATGAAAACTCCTGCATTCTATATAGCAAAATTTTAATGTTATCAAATGTTTAGAATGCATATGTAATATACACATGTACTAGTACATACATGTAACTGGTGTGGTATGCTACAGGTGGTACACCAAACTGTCACTGACCAATCAAATGCCAAGTTCGAGGCTTCGGTCAACGCTCTGTTGAGAGCATTCCCACAGGCCAATCAAGAAGTGGTCAGAGCAGTTATAAAAAGGTATATATTTAAATATCATATCTAAAACACATGACGAAATAAAATGGATAAAAAGGGAATAAATGGACAAATTAAAAATTTATAATTTTTTTTAAAAACATTTAAAGTAAATAACAAAATGTAATCTATTAAAAATGTTGGCAATTTCAGAAATAATTTATTCATATACCTTTGGGTATCTGTTTCTATATAATACAGCTGTCAGAACAACCACACAAGAGCCAAATTGATTCTAATGTCCATGGGATTCAAAGAAACTAATACATCTGAAACTGCTAAACCAACTTCTGGAGGAGGAGCTCCACAACAAATGTTGACTCCACACCTTCAGCAACATATGTCACCTCAAAATCAACAAGGTGTACGCAACCAACACAGCTATCCAGTCTCTCCGAATCAAAGACGTTCAATTTCTCCTCAGCAACGACGGTCACTTTCTCCTAACCAACAATTCGATGAGACATCACAGAGTCAATCCCCAAATTATCAGAGGAATGCACGGTCCCTCAATCAAGAAAAGCGCATAATCTCTCCAATCCGCTCTGACAGGAAATCATCGCCAAACAGACAACCAGGAGCATTACAGCAGAATGAGCACGAAAGACTTTCTCCAATCTACTCTGACAGGAAATTATCGACAAAAAGGCAAAGAGGGGCATCACAACAGGATGAGGACCCAACTCTACAGCCAAGGCGCCATTCTTACCAAGCTGCTACAAAACCCTCTCAACAGAAATATGTATCTGCTGCAGAAATAATGGCGTCTTCAAGGAAAATAAGCCATGATTCACATCAAACCATTCACGAGCAAAATCAAGCAGACGGACAAATATCAAACAAAAACCCTATCATTACCACTCTTTCTCACTCACTTTCCCCAAAGTCCTCAAGCAAACGCTCTTCAACAGACCAAGCATTTACAACAAGTGACGAAAATCAATCTGCAGTTTCGCCCCAAGTTCCTAGAGATAATAGTTCTCATTTCAGAGATCAGGAAATATCAAATTCTGAGAAGGCAAAACGTAAGAATGAAGTTTCTTTCAAAAATATTGATACTGATAGTAGTACATGTAGATTTAAACAAATACACCTTTATCGTTACGATTCTGAATTTGTATTACAGTGAAACAGACCCTGATGGACCAGTTTCCAGAATGTGAGTCTGATGTTGTAGAACTGGCTCTGAAAACTACTAATTTCAATGCGTCTGCCACAGGTGTTTTACTGGAGACATGGAAAAGAAGTGTGAAAAGAGAGTATGTAAATGATATATGGAATCGAAATAAAATATTTGAAAAAACATTCCTTTCAGAATTTTTAAGAATTATTACCCTGTTGCCATATTTATGATTGTAGGGAAGAACAAAGAAGTTATGGTAAGTTAGATATTACGTTGTTGTACATCTATATAAGACAAGACAACTTCATTGAACAATTCTTCAAGAGATTGAAAAAAATTTTCTCTTCACAGGTGATTACAAAAAGAGAACCGGATCTGACATAACTTCGCTTACTCCTGATGTTTCCCCAACAACAATCATTACAAAACAGCCTGCTGCATATCTTTCAGATCAGCAAAGGTACTCAATTGAAAGTTACAGTGTACAAAATTTCTACGTATATTCAAATCGTTAAGTATCATATTTTTAGTTTGTTTCCATTGCCTACCTGTTACTTATTCTCTTCGTTTCCTATGACACAGTTATAAAACTATAGAGCCCACACAGGGCGTTTCCACTTATTTCTACTGTCTGCTGTTCTTCTTGCTCCATTTCAATACTGTCATCCAACTTTTGTGCTTTCCCGCGTTCTACTGTGCGGCGTCACGTTGTTGTAGTTAGATACATTCTCATTTTTCTTTTCCCGACATAGACTTTGAGTCCAATTCTCTCTGCCCTTTTTATCATATTTGTTGTTTTTCTTTTATTGAGCAGTTTCCTTGATTATAATAGGGTGTCAACATCTTCAAATTCTAAATCATATACTTTTATTAATAAAATTCCATTTTATCCTGGTCTTGCCATTCTTCAATGATTTCTTCACTAACTTGTCCATTGTCATCAAGGGAAAAACCGACATGTTGCAGCTTTCCTTTCTCTACGAAGTTTTGCAATATGCAGATTGTTCTTCTCTTTAAAAAAAAAACCAGCCTGCTTTTTTGTTGCTGTGAATCTTTTCCTTTTCCTATCCCTACCTTCTGACCCAGAACTAGGGAGTAAAGAGATTTCTCCCCGATTCTTACATTTTGTATTCCGATTCCCTTTCTTTGACAACTTTATAATGAGTTCCTTCTTCCATGTTTCACATTTTTTTCTTGTTCCATATCTTATCAAGAGGACTTTTTATCTTTTCTGTTGTAAATTCTAAATATGCTTTCATTACTTCTGCTGTGTTGTCTATTCCTGCTGAATTACCATGGTTTAAGTTTTTACTGAATTTTCTTTTCTCCGTATTATGGTTCGCTGCTGATTATCTCTGCTTTATGCGACTGTAAT